AATTTTTGGGGCACCATACTAGCTCTATGTGACATGTTAACTTCACAAAGCAGTGAGGAAGACCAGCTGCAGGGGGTGGCTGGGCTGCATTCCGGGGGGTAATTTTTGAAGTCCCTAGTTCCAGACTGCATTTTTGGGAAAGCTTCCAAATCCCTATTTCCAAACAAGTATGTAATTGGGCAGAATTGAAGAAAATGTTGGGGGTATTGTACCTTGACAAAACTGAGACGTTTCCTTCAAGTCAAAGCAACCAGGTATAAGGGGGTGTTTGTTGATGAGAAGCTCAACATGAGCCGGCAGTGTGCGCCTGCAGCCCAGAAAGCCAACCGTGTCCTGGGCTACATCAAAAGAAGCGTGACCAGCAGGTCGAGGGAGGTGATTCTCCGCCTCTACTCTGCTCTCGTGAGACACCACCTGGAGTACTGTGTCCAGCTCTGGGGTTCCCAGCGTTAGAAGGACCTGGAGCTGGTGGAGCGAGTGCAGAGGAGGGCCACAAAGATGAGCAGAGGGCTGAAGCACCTCTCCTATGAGAGCAGTCTGAGAGAGTTGTTCAGCCTGGAGGAGAGAAGGCTCTGGGGACACCTTATAGCAGCCTTCTGGTGCCTGAAGGGGGCCTACAGGAAAGCTGGAGAGGGACTTTTTACAAGGGCATGTAGTGATAGGACAAGGGGTAATGGGCTTAAACTGAAAGAGGGTGGATTTAGATTAGATAGAAGGAAGAAATTTTTTACAGTGAGGGTGGTGGGGCACTGGCACAGGTTGCCCAGAGAGGCTGTGGATGCCCCATCCCTGGAAGTGTTCAAGGCCAGGTTGGATGGGGCTTTGGGCAACCTGGTCTAGTGGAGGGTGTCCCTGCCCATGGCAGGGGGGTTGGAACTAGATGGTCTGTGAGGTCCCTTCCAACCCAAACCATTCTATGATTCTGTGATTCTATGACCCTGAGCTACCTGTAGGGTTGGCTCTGCTTTGACTAAGTGGGTAGGATCAGATGATCTTCAAAGGTCTCTTCCAGCATAAATTACTCTATTCTAGCATTATGTGATTAGTATATTCCTAAGGAAAATGGCAGCTTACTTAATGGCATCAGATTATCGTACTTTTATCGTACTTTTTATCGTACTTTTTTTTTTATCGTACTTTTTTTTTTTAAGCTTATCATAAGTGATTTTGATTTAATTATGCTCAAGAACTCTGTGGTATCCACAGTGAATATTGTCCATTGCAAATAATCGAAGCCTTGTTTTGAATTAGTTAAAGGGCAGTGCTGTGGAATTTTGTCATCCTTTTTGTCGTGCAACTCTCAGAGAATGTCAGCAGCCCATTGTAGCAGTGGCTCCATCTCCATTCCCTGCTTGGGTGTTGGCTATAGCTAGAGGGCGGACTTAACATCTGATTCTGGTGCCTGAACATATATAAAAATTTATTCCTCTGTGACTGCAGTTAGTTACGAGTTACCACGTTTCTGTACCTGCTGTTCCAGACAGATTTTTCCACTTGGCATATTATTTGGAAAAATTGTTCATGAATTTATAGATATCATTAATTCAATAATGACTAATTCACTGGAGGACATGAATGGCACGATGGTTAAATGACAGAAATTGTGCTGTCTGTGTAAGCTTAAATTCACTTTGACTGAGATTGAAGTTCTTTTAGGTGATAAGGTTGACCATAAAGATTTTGAAAGCCCATTAAAGGTTCGTTACTACAGGAAAGAACATTCTGTTACATGGGACAAAGCTTGGTGTTTCAGCAGTGATCTTTCACTTGGATTGCTCTTTCCCAAGCTGTCTCAAATCCTATTGAAAAATTTAGTCAGTACTTTCTAGTTAATGACAACCTCAGTGTTTTTTATAGTACTCTGCAAAAATGTGTGATCTATTCAGGAGATGATGTGATGTGATGAGTTTCAAATGTATTTTGTTCTGATAGAGTTAGGTTTTAATCTTCCAGCATTTTTGCCTAACTACAACAATCTGGAAATGTTGGCCTAATTAGATTTTGGAGTTGGTTTCTTAATTCAGTAGCTGAAAATTTTGCTACACAAATAATGGTTCATTAATTCCTTGGAATAATTTTAAGTTTGGGATTTTTGTAATATGTGTGACAGATCTTGTATTATGTGTGGTAAAATAAAGATGTGGGTCATAGGAATTAACTGAGCTGTATTCTTGTTCACAATTTATTCCTGATTTTTTAATTTAATTAAAGGTAGAATATATTTAAAGTCTAGAAAGTAAGTGAAAGAACAATGTGTAAAGGTGACTTGTGGGCCAGTTTTTATTGCTATATAAATGAAAGATTGTGATAAATTGCTTCTTTGTCCACAAGCACGCTTAATTTAGGCACAGTTTAGGACTGCACACCTCCATATTGGAGACCATTTTGTGGCCTGTGTCCTGAGCAGTCCCATAGCCTGTCTGGAGAGCAGAAGGGATTCTGTTGAACACCATGCAGTTCCTTCTCATTGACAAATGGTTTGAATAACCTCATGTTGTACAAATCCAAGGGGTTCTAGGCTCTGTACATTTACATATACCATGTTGACTCCTCTCTTTCCCATGCATATAGTCATATGTGGTCTATATATGTCACACAAACTATGTCAGAATAAACGACTTCAAGGCATAAGACTTGGACTTTTTTCTTCAAAATAGGCACAGAGAGCCACCCAAAGAAAAGCCACACAAGAATATTTAAGCAGTAGACCCCATGTTTATGAAATACCCTATATGCCTTCTTTGCTCCTACTGCTCCCTCAAACTCTTTTTCATCATGAAAGATTCCTGATATTTATCAAGCCTAAAATGGAGGGAAGCCCAAAACATGATTTTTATGGACCGGAATATAAAGCATAAAAAGAGTCACTGTAACCAAAAGGGGATGCTGAATTTACTAGACTGTGATTTCCTAAGCCTGGTTTTGGGGTGGGGTTTTTTGTTTGTATTATATCACATGAGAGGATGAAGAGAGTCTATTTAAATGTTGATTGATGTAGACTGATGTTCCTCCAAAGAATCCCCAGGATATCTCTTCCCTCTTCAGGTTGATTAAAAGATCTAGGCAGTCCACTTCTTTGTACCTTTTACATGATTGCTAATGGATATTTCTCTAGGGAAAGCGCATAGCAAAAAAACTTAATATAAGATAGACTCCCAAGGAATTTTCAAAACTATTATAGATTAGCCCGCAGAGAATTCCTGTCCTTGATTTATTCCAAATGCATTCTTTTCAACTCAGTGCAAAGTTTTGGAACTGGCATCTGCATCTTCGTGTAAGATTCGCTGCAGTCATTTTTCATCAGATGTCAAATAAAAGACTCCAGTGATTTAGCTGATCGTTTGAGATAGTGTTGTTTTTCAGTGGGCACAGGCAAAAAACAAACCAAAAAACAAAACCCACAAACAAATTTCCTGTTTGAAGAGGACAGGAACCAGGATCTAGTTTGGATACATTTTCTGTGCGTTTTTATAGATTTACAGAAATAACTTTTTTCCATTTTCTGTGAAATCTGGGAAGATCCATTTACTTTTTCACATGCTAAAGTTGTTCAGCATTGTTTCTGTAACTGACTTGGTTTGGAGATGTAGTCTTCATCACATGGAGTATACAAAATATTGAAAGTTAGGAAATAACCTCTGAAAAAAAGGAGGGATTTTTCACTTTGGGCTCCACTGACGGCTTTAGGAACAGATATGTATTAATACTTAGTAGATGTTTGGTCTGAACCAAACAGAGCCACTAGAACCCAGAACTCCCAGAACCTGGCAGTATAGCTTCTGAATCACAGGTAGGAAATAACTTCTTTCTCCTACAAAATCAGATCTCTTTTTTTAATGAAAGAAAAGTTTGATTTGTGGAGGTTAACATAGGAAGTGTTTGCTGCAGATTCCAAGAAGCACTTTTGAGGAATGACTTTATTTGCAGTATTTCTATAATTCTCAGAATGAACGAAGTACATTTTGTAAATTAAAAACTAAAAGTTACAGGTTCTGACCATTATTCTCTGGAAATTAAAAGCAGATCTGAGAGCACCAGGGCAAAATTCATTAGCTCTGGTGCAAATAAGAGTTGGATCAAACCTACCAATAAGATGTAAGCACTTAACACCTAGGAGATTCCCAGAGAGCCATTCAGGCTGGCTGCTTTTCAGTTTAGCTTACCTTTTACATATGCCTAAACTGTCTGAGCATTTTCCGGTTTTGCCTAACAGTTGCCTTTGTATTTAACTGTAGACGGCTGTGATATTCAGAAGAGGCTGTTCTAAAGCAAAGGCAACCTGTTTTCCTGAAATGCTCCATTGCATTTGGCCTAAAGCAGATGGGCAACACTGGAAATCTGCTGAAGCTTTTTAGAGAAAACATAACAATTAAATGTCTTAAGGACTGTGACTTCGTCATTACTGGGAGTTCCTACCTTTGCACCGTCTTAGTATTAGAGTGATTTTCCAAGAAGTAGGAGGTCTGGGTTTAACTATAAAGGTTTAATTATATTTGGAGGGTTGTGTTGGGTGGACCCCGCACCTGTGCTCGAGCTGGCCGAACCTTACAGTGAGGCAGTACCTGATAGGGGCACCTGCACTAGGAGGTTTATGTCGTGTCCTTGTTGATGCTTAGGCATTAATCTTGATTGACTGAAACAGCAGTGAAGACAAGGCATCATCCATCTTTAGGTTTAAGCAGTGCAGAGGCTTTACTCCCTTCTGTCAGCCAGAAGCCAACCACTTTATTCCTAAGGAGCAAGATGAAGGTTTGAACCATACTCTGTTTAAATGGGAAACATCACAACTGGGTCACACCCGTAGGTACTGAAATATGTACAGAGGAAGAGCTGCTACTCAACATTTTATTATTCTGTGGCTCTGCCATAATTTATTTTTCTGCCTTTTTTGTGCAAGACCTTGTAAGAAACTGGTGCCAAATTTCAGTTGTAAAATGTTTATTCTGTAGCAATTGTCAAGGGATTCGTTATAATAGATACCTTTTTCTCTTTTCCTGTAGGTCTTCATTACTTCAAAAACATCGTGTTAGTAGGCTCTCTGCAGGATCGTTATGTTCCTTATCACTCCGCTCGCATTGAGATGTGTAAAACAGCTTTAAAGGATAAACAATCAGGTAATAAATATCCTGCAAAATAAACAGACCGCTCAGGTTAAACCTCATGGATCTCAGATTCATCCCGTTTAATTTTGGGTGCTTAACTGAGGCACCTCTGTTACGTATTTAGACACTCTGGGCTTACTCTGTAGTAATGGAGAGAGAAAATACATGTGGGAGATGAATTGCTTTCTGGATCTGTCCTGTTCTATTCCATGCAGAAGAAGATAAGACTGAATAAATTTCTAGCTTACAGACTTTGCTGAAAGTTATGTGGGATGAACAGAGCCCCTGGTGTGTTACTCTGTGAACAGCGAGGACAAATAGCTTTGATTTTTGAGGACATCAAGTTGTAGCATTGAGCATGTGGGCTCTACTTAGTTGAAGCTTAATACTGGCACTGAAAGAAAAGATAAGTTTTCCCATTTTCAGTGATGATTGGTTGTTGTATTCACTGTTGAGACATCCTAGACATTTGCATTCTCGCATTATGTATTGACAAATAAATACCTTTTACACAGTGTAATAAATTTGTGCTGATGAGCACATTCTCACTATAAATGTACAAATACTCAAATGCATACCTTGAAATTATTTTTCCAAGATTTCTGAGGAAATTAAACTTTCTGTATATTTTATCTTAACAACAGCATAAAACATATCATTACCTCTCTTCTTCTGGAATGTATTCATTTTGAGTTCAAGGTCAAAGAACTGTATTTGTTTCTGGTGATTCACATAGTACAACTTTCCTTTTCCTCTACAGGACCAATTTATGCTGAAATGATCCAGAACCTGCTTCTGCCAGTTCTTCAAAATAAGGAATGTAATTTGGTTCGTTACAATGTAATTAATGCATTACCCAATACAGCAGATTCTCTCATAGGGAGAGCTGCACACATTGCTGTTCTTGATTCAGAAATATTTTTAGAAAAATTCTTTCTTGTTGCTGCCCTAAAATATTTTCAGTAGAGAAAAGCATTGTAAGAGACTTGGTTATTACCTCATTAACAAATGAATCAAATAATGTGTGGTATTAAAGTATAGCTGCAGCTGTATTTTAAGAGATATTTATACTTTTTATATGGAAGATAATTTATATCATCCACACTTAGGGCTTTTTAACATCAACTTTACTTTCTAGGTAATGTGGCTGTGCAATATTTTTTTTATTTTGTTCTTTTTACTTTTCTATTACTTTTTCTTAATTTTGGGTACCTAATTATTTGGAGATTAAAGCACAGTGCGTACTTTTGGTTGGTTTATTATTGGCTCTTCAACTACAGAAGTCAATGTTACTTGGCTACATTTTACAAGAGGCTTTAGATGCCAAAATAAATTGTATTTTAAAATTCTAATAAGGTCTTACACCTTCAGTTGTCGTATTTTAGCACTGTAGGAAGCTTAACTGGAAACACAATGAGCTGCTAAAATACTGGATATTTAAAACCGACTGTATCTGTGGGTCTCGCAAAGACCATTACAGAGTTGTCTGTTCAGATATCACTACAGCTTAACAGTTTTCTACAAAGTCATTATCATCATTGTTAAATATGTTATGCCTGTGGGAATATATTTTCTACTGATCTCAAAAACATGTTAGTTTACATACTCAGTTTTATTACTGGAACTTTAGTTTTCAGAAGCAAATGGCAACTAAGGATTTTTGAATGTTAAATGATAGCTGCCTTCAAATAATTGGGGTTTTGCGAAATATATTAAAATTGCTCCTTACTCTGTCAGTTCTTCAGATGAACACGGACAGTTTTACATGGACTTACTTGTATGTACGTAAAATAAGTAAATGTTACAAATTTCTGCAATACTTTTATGAATTTAAGCAATTTTTAAATATTGTTAAAATGTTTTATTGACTACAAAGTATTGTAAATATAAATCAATACATCTTCAAATGGGACAATATTGTAAACTTTACCTGTTTAGTGATACAGATAAAATGTTTTTGATATACAGGAATGTTAAAGGTCTCTTGACTTTCTATTGGTGCTGAATAGCATTAAGTTTGGTTTCCCCTTCCTTCCCTTCTGTCTGTTTCAAACAATAATTCACTAAAGGTGGGGG